AGTAGGATTGCCCAACCTTCCTTCCGAGGAGTGGCTGGTGGGTTTGAACCGCCAGCCTTAAGGTTAGCAGTCAAGTGCTTTAGGCACTATGCTACCAGAGCTCCTAAAGTAGTTTTAGCAAACATTTTTCAAATACCAACATGATGTTAAATACTCTCCCAGGAAGACTTTTGAGGCCTAAGTGGGTAAATTTATGTAAAAATGTCTTATAATGGAGGCCCAGCCCCATGTTCAGCAAATGATAGCTAACATAGTTCCCTTCCCTTGCTATGTACCCTATCATAATTTAGTCTCAAATCTTACATTTCCAAATCTGGCCCTTTTGGCAACTGAATACTTCTATCAGGAACTTGGAAAATAAAAGGCATAATCTCACTTGCTGTTTTCATCTGGTTTATCCATTTTAAATAAGTCCATTTGCTCCATGCTGTCATTGCTTGAAGTCTTGTGTTTCGTTGATAATTTTGGTACAAAGAGCATTGTCTTCGTGTACTCCACCTGTACCAGTTTTGAAGCTGACACGTTTCTAATTGCCTTATCCAAGTTCTCTTGGCAACCTAGACAGAAGAGAAAGACAGGCACTACTTCACCCCTTGCATTTGTTGTTTAATGGAACAGGAGTTCCTTGCCTTTTACCTTGGACTAGTTACCTTGGATCTGGAAGACTTGTTCCCAGTTGATAACCTGTGGACATCTCAAGACTTCTTCTAACTTGTCAAGGTCTTTAGTGAAGATGTGATATGTGTTGGTATAGTGATCCAGGTCATCTTTCATCTCCTGATATATCAAAAATCAATTCTATTTATATAGCACAATTTACAGAATGTTCTTGCATATGCCTAGAGTGCTAGAGGCTAGATTGCTTGATACCCTCAATTTTCCTGAGAGGTGCAGAAAATCATCTTAGAGTCCTTTAAGGAATGAATTGCTGTTGACATATTAAAGGTATGACAGGCACTAAAGTCAGCTTCCCTTAGAAGGGTAAGTAGCTCCATTGTCTGGGAAGAAGATGTACTAGAAATGGTGTGTGTTCAAGGTCTAAAAGAGAGGGTTCCTGAAGTATGGGGACAAGGTTGGAGGTCAAGGTTTTGGGATTGCTAAGAAGTGATGCTTGAGCTGATTCTGACCTAGTACTCTTGGGCTGGTGTGGTGATTGGATCTTTGTGTGCATGTGACTAGGGAGGACTTTTGGAAAGAGCCATCATGCAGCACCTAGAGTAGAGGGCCCAATCTACTACCACACACCTG